GCTTTGTGAAGAGTTCAAGATCGAACATCATAATTCTTCTCCCTACAGGCCAAAGATGAATGGGGCTGTTGAAGCTGCGAATAAGAACATCAAAAAGATTATCCAGAAGATGGTGGTAACTTATAAAGATTGGCATGAAATGCTTCCGTTCGCTCTGTATGGGTACCACACTTCAGTTCGAACTTCCACAGGCGTAACCCCATTTTCCCTAGTTTATGGCATGGAAGCAGTACTCCCCGTGGAGGTCGAGATCCTGTCTATGAGAGTTTTGATGGAAGCTAAACTTTCTGAGGCTGAATGGTGTCAGAGTAGATATGATCAGTTGAATTTAATTGAAGAGAAGAGATTGATAGCGTTGTGTCACGGTCAACTATATCAACAAAGAATGAAGAAGGCTTTTGATAACAAGGTTCGAACGCGCGAATTCAGAGAAGGTGACCTCGTGCTCAAGAAGATATTATCTTTCCAACCTGATTCTAGGGGCAAGTGGGCTCCGAATTATGAAGGGTCGTATGTCGTTAAGAAGGTTTTTTCTGGAGGCACCATGATTCTCACGAATATGGATGGTGAAGAACTCCCGTGCTCCATAAACACCGATGCAGTCAAGAAGTATTTCGCCTAGGTTTGAGTTGACAGTTCGCTAAGTTGAAAACCCGAAGGGGTGCCTTAGGCAGGCTTTTGGTCAAACCTGTCTTGGCATTTGAGCATATTTCGGAGTTCGAAGTTGTTAGGGAGAATAGTGATCATTGTTTTTATGTAACCTTTTTCTTTCATGTGCTATTTCCCAAGCTTTTGTAAACTATTGGAGTCGCATTGTTAGCGAACTACCATCTTATTAATGAAATTTGAGCATTTATCTTTTTGTGGGCAAAATTTTAGCTTCTATGGCAATATTTGAAACAAAGTTAAAAGTATTTCTATTTTGAAATGTGTCATGAATACTGGAAGGAATATTAACAGTTGCTCCGAGGATGGTTAAGCCATGAAATGCAAAACAATACAGTAGTTCATCCTTGCATGATGAACATGTTTTCTTTCAAAATCGTCATGAGGTGTTGGTTGTGTAAACTTGCGTTTCTATTAGAGTACTAACTTGGTGACTCCCCAAAAATTCTGGTTAAGCTTTGTTTCGGTTATCTCTAATTGGACAAATTTCCAAAGTGTAGTACATGTTGTATCTTGTTCGTGGTCTATTGATGATTAGAAGATTGGATTTGAATACTTTTCTCCCTAGAAGACTTGAGCCTTGTAGCGTGATATGCTCTGACATTGCCTTTTGTTCCAGTTCCAGTTATTTTTCGTATCTTTGAGATTGGACGAGTATCTAATAATTTTGTGTTATCTTATCATCTTCAAGTTATTTCCTCTATTTGTTTTGTCAGCATAATCTTCATTTACTCATTTACACTTACATCATGCATACACATTCACATTTGTCGATGATTTTGGGTCGTATACCTTGTTTATATTTATTCAAACAACTTACTTGTTTCTTTCCAAGTAGAATGTTAACTTAGGCAGAAAATGTGCTTCCTTTCTAATTCCCCAGCTGAGCTAATCCTCGTGGATGAATTTTTGATTTAGCCTTCCTTGTCCATCTCTAGATAGGGTGAATCCCCAATTAAGTTATTTTCTCATTGGGTGGAGTCTTGTTTGACTGTCTTCTCTCCGGTTTATTCCTGGATTGAGTTTTGTCTCTTGCATAGACTATCTCGTGGTTTTCTCCAGGCTAAGCAACCTAGATGAATGGTGCATTTATTTTGCGCATGTAAGTATCTGATCTCCTCAGGAAGGATCTATTCATGGCTCCCTTTGAAGAAGATTTTTATTCCCTGGCAGTGTTATCATAACTTTGTTTTGAAACATCTTTGGAAAACGACAAGCGGCGGTCTCTTCATGAGCAACTTGTACGTTATTGACATCTTTGGAAAACGACAAGCAGCGGTCTCTTCATGAGCAACTTGTACGTTATTGACATCTTTGGAAAACGACAAGCGGCGGTCTCTTCATGAGCAACTTGTACGTTATTGACATCTTTGGAAAACGACAAGCGGCGGTCTCTTCATGAGCAACTTGTACGTTATTGACATCTTTGGAAAACGACAAGCGGAGGTCTCTTTATGAGCAACTTGTACGTTATTGACATCTTCGGACAACGGCAAGCGGCGGTCTCTTTATTTGAGCAACTTGGGCGTTATAGTTTCTTGGAAGACAGCAAGTGGTGGCTTCTTTATTTGAGCAACTTGTATGTTATAGACATCCTTTGAAGACAACAAGTGGTGGCTTCTTTATTTGAGCAGCTTGTGTATCTACAACCATATATTATTTTAGCATCAATTGGTATCTCTCCGGAAAAGTCTCATAGAGATGTTTGTTATGAAACCTCTACCTTCAGAAGTCGTTAGTTCACTATCAGCAAAAGTTGATATATCTTTTGTCTCTCTTTGACCTTGAGTTGTGAACTCACCATCATCTTGGGTCAATAATTTGTTTTTTCGTGACCTATGCAAGGCGTTTTTCTTTGTTAGGGTCAGAAGTTGTCTTCTCTCAAATTTTATTCTCCGTTAAGAGTCTATCATTCAAAGTCGATGGCTCATTTCTCCAGTAGTGTATAATCTCTGTTCCTGTGGATTATTTGTGATTGGTTTCTCCAACATTATTTTGTCTCGTACAGTATCATTCTCCATAAAGTTAAATACTACATTCATATCATAAACATAATGGCAGTATCTTAGGGAAAAAATTGCGTATTATGTATTTAAGTACATTCAATCTCGTCGAGACGAAGATTTTAATCTTCATATCTCTGGATAGAAGAAACTTAAATAGGGGCAGCTGTCATACCCCAATTTTTGACCTAAGATCCCTGCTTCATTTGCATTATTTTATATATACATCAAGGTCACCGAATATGGTAGGTTCCGAACGTTTCGCTTTCGAGCTTTGACTGTGTATAGATTATCAAGTGTTGTGAGCATTTTATCTTAGGAATGACTAACCACAAGTCAAGCACGAAGTGTACGTTTTGTTGTTTTGTTTTCATGTGCAGGAAATAGGTCTGAAAGAAGAACATCGGACGTTGTACATCAATTAGGGTTTCGAGTCTCGGGGCAGAAATACGGTCGGTCGTTAATTCCCAAAAGCTGATTCATCAAAAGAATTTCAGAGAATTGTGCGTTTATTTCCACACTCTGTCCAACATTTGGTCTCCAGTTTCTCTGAATATTTTTTCAGAAAGAATGGTCGAAGTTTCTACTGTCTTTGGTTCATGTGTATTTCACATTATTCTAAGATACAAGAAAACCAAGCTATGCCCGTCATTTTCAATCACTTCGACCAAAAGTCATCTGCAAATTTTCTCATGACGCGGGGTGAATTTCGTCAAAATGGGATAATTAAATTCAAAACCGTTCTAGAAGATTTTATTCAGAATATTTGGAATTTTCTGTATTTGAATCCAAGTGATAATTAAATAGGAGCTACCAAGAGATCTCATTCAAGAATAATCATTTATCGCATGAAATATTTATTCAAGATTATTTTGTGATTATTTTGGTAGATTTACATTATGGTTATTTAAACACACATGAAGCATTTATTCAAGAAGCTATTGGGAAAAGGAATTCGATCCAATTAATCGGTCATCACAAGATTAATCACATAAGGATTTCTATTTGATTACAAAATTAATTCATGTGATTTATTTGGATCTCTATTACAAAAATGCAAGATTAAAAGTCTAAGACTTGCATTATTATTTATTCATTATTCAGCAATTTATTCAAGTATTGTTCAACTCTTTCTCAATTCAAATGGAAGACCTTGAATTTTTATCAAGACATATCAAGATTCATTTTCATATGAAGATTCAAAGTTATTTATAATTACAAAGGGAATTGAGAATATATTGGAGAATACATGTTTATTCATGTTACAATTTATTTGGATTTATTGTTATAAAGTTACAAAATAAAATACAAATTTTGTATATGAAAATCAAACTATTATTCTTGCTACAAAACAGTCCCAATGCTGCCCATTTTTCCAGCACTATATTAATCCATAACAGTCCATTTTTTTGAGTGTAGTGCTGTCCATTCTCTCCAACCTTGTTTCAACGAAGACCATGCCAAGCTGCTGTCCAAATCTGCCCTGCAAAACAGTCCAGAATGCAGCCCATAAGACAAAAATCTGCATATTTTGCTGCTACAAAAATATTTTGCAAAATTCCAAATATTGCACTAAAATGGATACTTCAAAAAGCTATCCCATAAAACATCAAAACAAGGCCTAAAATAGTTCAAACTTCTAGTGTTTCCCCCCCTAAAACCCCATACATTTCACTATAAATAGAGGCTTTCATCAACACAAAAGAGAGACAACAAGAAGAGAAATAAATAAAAAATCCAGCAAGAGAGTGAAAACAGAAAAGATAGTTTTGTTCCAAAAAATTTAGTAGAGAGAAAAACCAGAAGAACATAGCAAACTCAAGGAAAAAACTTACTATCTTTTAGAAGCCCCATCGGAGAGGCTCCGATAGGTATTATTTTCTTCTTCCTCTCTATCAACTTCTGCATATGTTCATGTTTGAATCACTTTCTGCACCATTTTTTTTTGCCATACGATGCTTGCCTTATCATTCCTTCTTTGTTGTATTTTATTTGAGTTGCTGCATGATTGTTAGCATTTAAACATGTATAGAATCCATAATAACAGTAATAACAATAAGTATAATGAAAGAACCATACTCCTTCCGTCGTGTAACAACAACTTCTATCTCTTCCTCTCCGTGTATCTAACAACAACCAATCGATAACAACCTGCAACCAACTCTGCTCAAACAGAAAAGAGACCAAAACATAAAATTCATTCTTCAAATTAGAAGAAAGAAATCTGAACAAAAGAAAAACCAGAACTGAATTATAGAAATCGCTTCTACCACGCCTTTCTCAACAACTATAACAAAACCTGTTAGCCTGTTAACAAAACCTTAGAACCTGTCAACCACCAAAACAATTAACCTGCAAGGTATCAACAGAAAATACTTCAACTAAGTAAAGAGAAGACACATTGGACAGTAGAGTAATTAGAAGAAAGTGTTTTAATGTATGTGACGCCATAGCTACGAACTCACCAAAGGCAGTAGAATCAGAACGCAGTAACAACATCCATCCTCCTTTCTGAACCACCTTCACTGCTACCAACTTATGCCTTCCCTCTCCACGCATACTCCCTTCGCACGCATCAAAACCACTCTCCTACAAAACTGCAAACCCATGGCCAAATCAGAGAAGAATAGAGTTAAAAAACCTAGATTTATTTTCTTTTACTCTTATTCCATAAAACACGTGAATCAATCCGCGAGATACACCATTACAGAGCTGTAACCAAGATTTAAAACCTAAGATAATCGGTTATGGCTATCAGAACGAACCGTACAATGCGATCTTCATAACAAGACGGTGGGGTTTCAAGACTTACCGCAGTTCGCTTAGTATGTCGTTGACCGCGATGGCAAATCAGAGGAAAGCTACTTGTAGAACCGTGTTGAAACGATTTCGGATTCGATGCAGGGATGTTGCAGTTCGTAGAAGATGATTGAAGACGATATGTTTGTTTTGGAGAAGACGCGGTTATGATGTACTGAAGAGAGAGAATCGCCTTTTTTTTCTCCTATTTTTGACTTGTTCTTGTTAATTTGTTGCTTTGATTTAACAGTAATCATTTTTTTTCTTTCCAATGCTATCGATGACTAGTAGCAGCCGCGCCTCTCCCAAAGTGCAATTAGGGTTTTCCATCTTTTTCCTTGTCCTTTCAAACGGGTTGGCCCATTGAGCCTGTTGGTCCAACATCTTTGTCAATTTCCCTTTATTTATTATTAAAAGCATAGTTATAATAGATAAACAACATAGCTCATTTGGCAAGGCAGTTCACAATAGTTCAAGAGGGACACGGTTCAAGTCCAGGCTGGGACGTTTTTTTATTATTTCTTTTTGGTATTATCTCCTCCATTTTTCTAACTTGCCATATATTTATAATTATTATAAAAAACATAAAAAACATGCTTATAATTTAATCTTTATTAATTATTCAAAAAATATATATGTTTTATAATTTAGTTTTTATTTCATTTTTGTTATTTGTTTAAAATTGTTAAAAAAATACATGCTATTATAATTTAGTCTTTAGGTAATTTTGGTTATTTACTTAATCATTTTAAATGTATGCTAGTGTAATTTAATTTTTATGATTTAATTGTTCAATTGTTATTTTAATTAATTTTGTCATTGATCATTAATATCTTTCGTTCGTCTCAAATCCAAGGGAAATGTTTTGACTTTGTTGACTTCACGTCATCAAACACGTCTCGTCTAATCGTGCGAATACCCTCATTCATATTTCATTTGTTTATTAGTTCGTTAAAACTTAAGATAATTTACCCAAAGATTCAATTTTCAAACTCACACCTTTTAAGTCAAAACTTTGACATTAGGTCGTCGTATCTTCAAATCTCACCCGCACCCATTTTTAGCCAAACAAACCATTTTTAATCAAGCAAACAATTTTAATAAACAGATATTTCAAAAGGTTCCTATAGGATACTATAGATGAATTGGGTGCTAATACCTTCCCATTGTATAACCAACCCCCGAACTCTAGATCTCTTTTCAAAAATCGCATTGTATTTTCATTACTTTGAAGTATCATTTTACATTGCATATTTTAGGGTTTTATTTCGCTCTTTTCCCTTGGAAATAATAAAGCGCGATGGCGACTCTTGCTTTTGTGAGACGAGTTAATTAATAGCTCGATCTCCGATTTACCCCACTATATTTTTTATCGCTACATTAATGTCAGAGTTTTTATGCGTCTAAGGAGTGGTAAGACTCTTGTTGAAATAGTTTGTCCAAAAAACCCTTCCCTTTCCCAAAACGATGCTCCAAGTGTAGAAGAACAACCGTTTGAATCGACAATTGGTGGTATATGAACTTCAACATATGTTGGAGTAACTGGTCCTAATATAAGCCAAATTCTAGTTTCGACGAGATTACCATAAGTGTTAGTTTCCCCCACCACAAGTAATGAGTATTCCAACTAATTCCTAGGGTTACGTAAACTACGGAAGCAACTAGGAAAATGAACAATGAAATCGCCATCGGATGTTATTTATCCCAAAGAAGGAAAACTAAAATCCCGAGTAAACCTGAGAGAAAATAAGGTCTTGCGACTAAGAGAAGGGTACGGTAGTCGATTATGCAAGGGGAAAGTATTAGCACCTCTCATGTCTGTGGTACTCCATAGGATCCACTCTTGTTGTTCTAATCAAATAGTGTGTTTATATCTAAAGCTTACAAGCTAAGGGAATTCATGAATGCAAAATAAAAATATAGGGAAAACAAAGGTTTTGAATAATTGTGCTTGCTTAGACCCTACAACCCAGTGCCTACATGTCCCTTTTAGGGAATAAGAGCGTCGTAGGTTGGCTCAAAAGTTTTGGTTTGTTTTGTGATTTTAGTGAATGATATTAATATCGCATTCTATTGCAGCTCGACCTTTGGAGACTCACGCGTTGTCGTAGAAAGGAATTAACATGTTCTTACCTGAAAAGGTTTTCTTGAAAGAAAGGCCCAGAGGAAAAAAGGTTTGGGTTGGTTTAGTTATTTTACCTTGAGAAAGGATTTGGTGATTTGAACTGCATTAAAGACTGTGATTGAAAGGAATTACAAGGTTAGGAATGTACCACCTCATACTTCTCCCAATGCTTAAGGCTCGTGCCACATGGTTCACATCGTTATTGTTATGTGTTTTTAACATTTGATTAAGAAAAAAGAGTTTTAGTCTTAATGGATGCAAAAGGGGAATGAAAAATCTAAGGGAAATTATATTCCTAATGTTATCATACAATGGTGGTCCTAAAGTTATGATTGAAAGGGAATTCCACCTAATGTTAGTATGCATGGTTTAAGACCTAATGTCTACCTTTATTCAAAGATGAACCAAGTGAACCTAAGGGATAAAACAAAATACATAAACAAGAATACAAACAATTAAACAATATGGCTTACAAGCCTACCAAACACCTAAGTGTATCACCTAACAAGCAAGCAATGATCCAACAAGCCTAAGCCTTAATGCATACTTCAAGTCATCAAACAAATAGAATGAATGTGTCATACACAAAACACTAATGTTCCCCTAAGGGTCATTCATAAGTGGTTCTACCCTAAGGCATTACAAACCAAGTCAAAAGCAACCAACAATTTCACTAGCACTAAAGGCTTAAAGTGTAAAGATAACACGAATGCTTAAAATACAAAGATGACATGACTTAGAAAAGGTGGAAGTCTAACTAATGCAAAAAGTATACATTCTAAAGCTCGCATAAACATCTCCCAAAGATGGAGGAAGAATTTCAAAAGAAACATGCAAGAGAAGGCTAAATAAACTATACAAATATTAAACTAGTTCCTATAAACTATACCACTAAAGATTATAGCCTTAAGGTTCACTTATGGAAACAATACAAAGCTACATTCAAGGAAGAATCACATTAGATGTCATGCCTTAAAGTTGAAAAGAATCACATGGCATCACATGCCAACAAAGGTAAAAAACTAATCAATTCAAGTAATAAGGGAGAAACATGCTTTCACACATTATGAAGTGATCAAAACTTGGGAAACAAGTAAGTTTCAAGTGAAACAAGGTAGATAACACCATAAGTCAGCAGATAACCCATAATCATTTATATCAAACAAAACATACAAGAAAGATCATGATTAAAACTAGGGGTGGAAAACAGGCATGCCCGCCCTGTAAAAGCCCACAAAAAATAGGGTGGGGCCAGGAGGGCATAGTTAATGATGAAGGCCTAAAAGATAGGCTGTCCCCACAAAAAATTAAGTGCGGTACAGGGAAAGTCCACAAGCACTGCACCTTTTAAGTCTAAAAATGCAAAATTTTAGGTTAATGTTCATGCCCGAAAAATCCCGCAAAGAAAACAAGGCGGGACGGTCGCATTAGAGAGTGAGGACCTAAATTATTGGCCAGCCCCGCACTAAACTGTAGGAAAAACGGGCATGCCCAAAGGGCCGGACCCATTTTTCCAATCCTAATTAAAATAAACTATGTGCCAAAATTAGGTCAAAACAATCAATTGACAACTTAGGGGTCAAGCATCATGATACACTAAGCATATGACTCAATTATGGGCTCAACATCAAGATAAAAGCTACCTAAACATGTTAACATGTTGATCAAGAAGTCAATTGAACATTAAAACAAGCATTAGAGATCATACAAAAGAAACCATCTCCTAACTAGGCAAACAATTTTCCAAATTATCCAATTTTGTATGACCCCAAAAGAAAAATCAAACAAAAGTCTAAATAAACATCATAAATCATGGAACTGATACACAAGGCAGGTTATTATGTCTACTATCATGTCATGAAAAATCCTAATCTATTTCATAAATGAAAGCTTCAAATCAAGCATTGAACATGCATCAATTAGGCAAGAGTACATGGTATCGAGGCTTCAAACTATTCATTATTAAAGACCTCAAAATACATCACTTAAACATCAAAGTATCATGGATACATACCCTAATCAGAGGTCTTGTCATGCTCAAAAAACCAGGAAAAGAATGGTTCGATCAAGCATCAAACACATAGCCACAAATTCTATCAAGATAACATGCATACATTGACAAAACCTTTTCTAATTATTTAGAAATCTAATTAGAAAAATAAAGAAAAAAATACTAAAAATTAGTCAAGATACTAATTCAAATAAAAGTATTTTTTGGATTTTTTATAAGTACCAAAAGGGGTTTCACAATTTACTTTGTACAAGACATCAAAAAGTGAACACAAAAAGCAAGGGGTGTATATCCAAATTTTAATTAATATTATGCCCAGTTCACATGCCTCATATGGACTTAACCTGGGGGTGTGTGTAGCGAATATTTGAAGCCTAATGGTGCTTTCAACCCAGTATTCAAACAAACATTATTGTTTTAATTATTCCCAATTAATCACATGCGTGACACCCTTTATTCATGTAACCTGAATCAATTGGTCACACGGCCATTTAAATGAATTATGTGACAAAAAAAAATCACAGCCATTCAAAACTTAACACCTATTTTCCTTATCCAAAATTCAAATACAAAAAAATGAATAAACAGGAAAAAGAATTAAACACAGTGCTAATCACACGATGACACTGCACGTCACCTCATGTGTTTGTCTTCAAAATAAGGGTAACAAAACCCTAGTCCAGTCACCCTCTCAGGTGGAACGCCATTGTAATACAGTGAGAGAACTGACTTTTTGGTTTTTCTTTTATCGCAAATATTGCGGATAGCAAGAGTCTCTATCGACTTTTCTTTTATCCAATAAAGGAAAGGGTGAAAATAACAGGAAAGGCCTTTGAGAATTTTCTGATTAAGGGGGGTAGGTTATGAAAAGGGAAGGTGTTAGCACCCTTTTCATCCCTAGTTATCTACGGGCTCTTAATTGCTAGCTCACTTTAAAATGCTTTGTGTTTGTGTATGTTTGAAAATATTTTGAAAATTCCTAAACGCGGCAATTTTGTATTGATTCTCGTAGCATTGAGAATGTATACAAAATGTTTGTTTTGAAAATATTTTGAAAGAAAGTGTAGTTTTATGAAAAATGTTTTGAAGATGCCAATGTAAGGCAATTTTGTTTATAATAA